TCTCTCTCTCTCTCCCTCTCTCCCTCTCTCTCTCTCTCTCTCTCTCTCTCTCTCTCTGCAGAGCTGCCCTCACCGTGTGTAGATACCTTGATAACGATTACGACGTGAATATGAGAGTACAAAAGTAGAATATCATATCTATAAATTATGTATAGCATGGCAAATTGATCCAAATCTCATTATACGTATTGTAACATGGTATATATGGAAGAGAAAGCTATAAAAACCAAACCAAACAAAACCCCAAACCAAAACACCCCCCCCCAAAAAAAACAACAACAACAAACAAACCCCAATGTTCCTACGAGATACAGCTATGCATTTTTTCGATACAACCAAAAAGAAAAAAAAAGAAGAAAAGAAAAAGATAAACAAAATGGATAAATTGTATATCGAAACGAGGAAATCTTTTCACATTATTTATTATTCATAATATCATCAAGGCGTAGTAAATCATAAAATCAAATAACAACAACAACAACATCAAGTTCAAACACGGTCGCTTTTAAGCACAAGGGGGCTATCCCGAAAAACGCTGTTTTGAGAAAATTAAAGGTAAAGTTATTGCATGTGTTCAGTGTCTTTAAAAGACAAGGAGAGTGTTCTCTATAGCCAAACAAATATACACATCAATAAAACCAAACTTCTCCTATAGGTAGGGCAATGCCCACTTTTGGTGTAGGTCAAGATTTCTGGAAACCCCCAAAATCTGGGTTAGCCCGCTAGTCCTTACAAGCGACCACACAAGGATGGATGTAAGTAACCACGCCCATGACGTACGACTCTTCATAAACACGAGGAATCTGTCGCGCTAATACTGAGCTGTTTCTATCTTTAGACTGATTCTAAAAATAAGACAAGTAAGCCGATAGTTTATGAGACAATACGGGAACTTGAAAGGACCAAAAGCCCAACAGTAACAACAGAAACAACAGTAAGAGTAGCAGTAACAAATTGTAGCGACAATAACTTTTCTATGCTAAAATAAGCAATGCTGAACTAAAAAAACAACCCCCCCCGCCCCAACTCCCTCACCCT